GCCTTCGCCCACCGCCGGCAGCGCTCCGCGGGCGCGGAGGGAGGGACGCGCCGCCCGGGGATGCCGCAGCCGCAGCTCCCTCCTGACTGGCAAACCTGAAGGAGCTCTTCATGAATATGCACAGCCTCCCCCGAGCGCCGGCCGCGGGATGCCGCCAACCCGGGGCGCCCCGCCGAGCCCTGCCTCCCCTCCGCGCCCCCTCGCCGGGGGTCAGGGCTGCTTTTGGAGATCAGCGGTTCGCTTCTGTCCTTACCCTTTGGCTCGTCCATCAGTGCCGGTGCTCGCTCCCTCCTCCCTCTCTCCCCCCCTCTTCCTCTCTCAGCCTCTGCCGGCTCTGAGCTGCCTTAGTGAGAGGTGCTCATGAAAATGGGCGCTTTAGTGGTCCATGGCTGTGGGAGGGGTTAGTTTAACTCTACATGGCTCAATCCATCTAACTTGCAGGCTGACCTCCTGCTTTTCTTCAAGCACAGATTACCTCAGAGTTGCCGCGTTACCGGCGCCTTGGGCTCCTCCGCCGGGTCGGAGGGTCCCGCACGGCCGGGGGGAGCGGTGCGCGCCCGGGGGGCTACCCGAGGGAACGGCCGCCGCTGGCTCCACTGGAGCCGTGGTCTGAAGCAGGATTGCATCGCTGGCTCCCGGGGGGAGATGTCATTTTGGCTGTGGAGAGAAAGTATTATGTTAGGTGTTTGTGTTTTTTTTTTTTTTTTTAAGTTGCATAAGACTGAGCAGATACCCTTCACAGCAGTGAGGTACACGAAGAGAAGAACTGTCCTGAGAAGAGATGACCTTCTTTGTTTCCAGATATAAGGTCCAGCCCACAGAAAAAAAACAACAAACCATGAAAGGAGATAAATTTGCAATAACTGCTGACAAGTCACCTCCTGCACCTACCTGCCCCATAGAATGAGGCTCGCACCTCTGGCTGTATCTCCTGGGGAACTTCAGGAAAGAACCCATTTTTGACTACTTGCCAGGAAGGCCTGAAGGGAACCCTTCCCCACCCCCGCCTTTTATCCCTGCTGAGCCCCTGCGCACCTCCCAGGTTGACTCCACGCAAATAAGAAATACAGGACAGCGCTGGAGGAGTCTCAGCAACTTTTCTGTACAGCCTCTGACATTCAGGCGCTTTCCAGGCACCACGCGTCCCCCCACGCTCCCACCTACGGATCCGTCAGCCTCCCACTCCAAAGGAAGTTGCCAACTACCCCCGTTCTTTCACTTCCTTCTCAGAGCGGTGGCCACCAGCTTCCCAGCTTCTGGGGCTCTTCCCCCTTCCCACGTGCCTTTCCCGCTGGTCGCCCAGAGGATGAAGTCACTGGAGCACAGGCCGCCACCACCACTTGCAGCCGGCAGACCGGCCCTGCCTGTGCCAAAGCCTGGTCTGCTCTGAGGCATCACTTTTACCAGTTCACCCTCCTGGCTCCTGGGGCTTCTCTTTGCAGCTAGACAAGAGGACATGCTGCCCTATAGCTGGACACCATCCAGCTCTGTGCCCACCACCAGCTTTCAGAGATCTTGCCCTGAGGAGAGGCAGGAAGAGTTAAATTCTTTCTGAATTATTGTCAGCTTTGGTTCAAAAGCACAGGGAGCAGTGTTTCAGCAGACAAAGATGAAGGTGGACTGTAAGCGTTTGTCATCTTATGCAGAAAAATTGGCCTGGGCAGCCCAAGTAAAGGAGAACTGACCTTACCTCCAGTGATAACAGGCCAACATTTTTAAAGAGTTTAGCATAGCAGAAGTAATTGTGTTGGTCACCTTGACACCAATTCTTGTAAAAATAAGAGTGCAGTTGATAAAATGCTGAGTTGATAAATACAACTTTGAAAGTGTTCAATGTAATAAACAGCAACCGCACAGATTTATCAATAAGAAATACTATTGACTTTTTTTTTTTTAAAACCAAGACTGATAAAAGTGCTAGCACTTATGTACCAGTCACACACTGACTTCTGCAAAGAATACCTGCTGGTAGAGTGTCATCACAGGAAATAAAACAGTTATATAAAAAATACCATACATTAAATTAATTAAACCCCACTGAATGGTAGTTTTTAAAAACATATAGTTGGAATTTAGGACTGATTTTCATTGGCTGTGTTTAGACCCACCGCCTCTACAGCTAGAAACTCAAGCAGCTCAGTCAGCTGGGCTGAGGACTCCAAATTTAACAAGTGGAAGATCTCTACAGGCCCGCCTCAGAGACCGATAGACGTGACTCCAAGCCATGTCTAAAACCTCTTATGGATGCTCAGACTGACCTATTTCATATCCTTTAAAATTGTGTGTGTACCTGAGAAACTACAATAAGCTTTTTTATACAAGTCTGCCAGTGACAGTTTTTTTTGCCTGAGGAAGTTCAGTTTCAAACTGAGACAGATGAAACCTTTATGGGGAAGGATGGACCATCGTTAGTCAGTGACCATGAAACACGCAGCAGCGTTTTCACACAAGAGGAAGTTGTCACCTGGAGCATAAGGGCCCCGTGGGGAAGGGTTGCTGTGAACTGTGACAGTTATGGTTTTCTACACCTAAAAACATCCAGGTCCTTCATAGAGCTGCAGGAAACATATTTCTGAGTTGAAGATGATCTACTTTAAGTGAGGGACTGATAAACACGTGAATAGTGTTTCCGCAGCTGCAGGAGCAGAGAACGATGTTGCACGCTACTTTACAGCCATTCAGTTTAGGTGTAAGAGACAGTGATGAAACAAACTTTCCCCCTTTGGCTGTGACAGAGGAGGGGAAGGGTGGACTTTGTAGTCTCATGTGACATGAGATGCAGACTTCCTCTTCCACAGAGGGTCAGATCCAGATTTGCCAGAGCAGTTTGGTTCTGCCTGCTGATCCTCCTGCCTTTGGGCAAACCTCTGAATGCAATCCACAAGCCAGCAAAAGGCAACAGCGGATACTGTGTCGCAGTCATTTCCATAAGAAAACAAAAGAAGCAGCCCCGGAGGCAGGCATTTGTACTCTGATAAGGCTCCAGGGAGTGTGAGGAGGAAGCTTGAAAACACAGAAATAAAAAAAGAGGAAACCAGAGAGCTCAGGATGTAGTTTCCACATATCTTGAGCAGGCGGTAAGAATAGCAAAACAGAGGAGTGCCACTCTTCTACTCCTAGGACAGAAACAAGCATCCCATGCAACTTTGGAGGAACAAAATATATCTTAAATATCCGTCTTCTTCCTAGCCATAGTAAGAGCTTAATCTCAATCATCTTGCTCCTCTAAGTTCACACAAGTTGTGTGTGTGTTTGTGTGTGTCTAAAAACGTGAAACTTCACAGATGTCTAGAATTTGCCGTTTTGCAGACGAGGTATGCTGCCTTTGGGACTCAGAAAAGGAGCAAGTGTGAGTGAACGCTGAGACACGTTAGCTCCATTTTCAGCAAACAGGAGACAAAGGAACAGGAGGCAATAACACTGCAATCCAGGGCCAGAACCTCTTGGCTTTGGGATGGGGGAAGGAAACAGCCATAGGAAAAGAGAGTCAGGGAGCCTGGGAACAAACCTACAGGCATTAGAAACATAAGTAGCCTGTTTCCACAGAAAGAATTGGCATGAAAACATCTGAACTATTTTAAACAGAAACAGGCCATCCCATCACCCGTCTCAAGAACAATATCGAAGTCATCTGTGTCTGTGTTTGCTTAGGGGCGTGGCCTGGGGGTATGTATTTAGATGACAACATATCACTCTCTGTATGTTTAAGCAACAGAGTGGAGTGGCAGCTTCAAGAAACTTTGTGTGTAAACATTGGCCTTAGCGGAGATAGGCTGAATATTCCCCAGGCTTTCCTAGACATTTAGTCCCAGTGTGCTGGTTCATGTCACCACCTACCAGCTGGCAGCCCTGGGAAGGGGGCAGCAGGTACCCAGCCCTCCATCCCCAGCATCTCTGCAACAGATGATAGCCAGTGAAGGTCTCAAAGACAGCGAACACATTAAATTGCTGGGACCAGAGGGAGCAGAATTCCCTAAAAAAGGGAGGTTGATCCAAGCGATTAGGACAGCTTTCTTCTGGAAAGGAAGGCAGAGAAGATGGGCCAGGCATTAGAAAAAGACAAATAACCAAAAGCACTAATGGTGCCAGACTTTTTTTTTTTTTTTTTTACAGCTTTCAGCTCCTTGGCCCACTCATCCCACATTGCAATCACCTCAGACTTGACAGTTTTCATAACACAGTAGGCCAAGTCCTCCCCACATCTCCAGGTTCCTCTGCAATAGCTGAAGTTCAAAGACTTAATTTAGATACCCAAAACACTTCCTTTGTGAAAAGCAAACCTCTTGGATGACTCCTGAAGAAACAGGCAAACAAGCAACAAGCTATATACTATCTGTCTGTGTGCACTGAGCATTATTTTTAGAGAATGCAATTCTCTGAAAAAGGAAAAATTACTTTTGGTATTTAGGTAAAAAGATGAGATGACCTTCAGCTTAATCTTGCTGCAAACAAGTATTGCTCCTTAGCCTTAAACTTATGAAATCCATTATCTATAAAAATTACTTAAGTTCCTTTCCTTCATGTTTGTTCTTTGTCTTGGTTTAAATATTTGTAACCCTCTTCTCAGAGGATGCCACTATGCTGTCTCTATACCGATATTCACAGATCTTGTCACCCCAAACCTGCGTATCACCTTTAAGATAACACCTTTTTTACTGCGTTTCTTCTCCACCTTTTTTTAGTCATCAGTATCTCCTCTATCGTTCAGCTCCAATAAAAGTCCCTTTCATTTCTTTGCTGCTTCTTGCATCAGACTGTATCTGTATTGCTGGTTCCTCTTCCACTTCAGTATAATTTCCTTAGAGATCCTGATGCTATTTTGTTTTGAAGTGCAACAGATAAAACCATCTAGCTTGTCTGTTACTCAACCACTACCCTGTCATCATCTCTGCTGGCTGTTTTCTTCTCCATTCATGTTAAAGTTTTATAGCCTTTGCCCATCTCTATTATTTTTGTGATATAGGGATCCAATGCTCAGATGACACATCTGCAGAGCAACCTGTTAATTAGTTATTTACTGGTTTTATGTGATCGCTACAAAACTGATAAGACAGAGGTAATAATGATCATTGAAACTGGCAAAAAAAAAAAAAGAGTTCCTGTTTTTGTTTTAGAGGTGAATCAGTTTTGTAGTTAATTTATTAGGTTTGTTCCTCTAAACAGTCATGGCTGTGATGGTTGTAGCTGGGATAGAGTCAATTTTCTTCACAGTAGCTGGTATGGGGCTGCGTTTTGGATTTGTGCTGGAAACAGTGTTGATAACACAGGGATGTTTTCGTTACTGGGGGACGTTTGGAGTGATGGCGTTTGTCTTCCCAGGTAACCGTTACCCACGATGGAGCCCTGCTTTCCTGGAGATGGCTGAACACCTGCCTGCCGATGGGAAGGAGTGGACAAATTCCTTGTTTTGCTTTGCTTGTGTGCAGCTTTTGCTTTATGTATTAAACTGTTCCTATCTCAACCCACGAGTTTTCTCACTTTTACTCTTCTGATTCTCTCCCCCATCCTGCTGGGGGGGGGAGAGAGCAAGCCGCTGTGTGGTGCTTAGTTGCCGGCTGCGGTTAAACCATGACAACGGCTACTGAAGACAAATTGTATTTTTACAAAATAAATGAAACAAGTTAACACCCTTATTGTTAAAAATCCACAAAACTTCAGCAAAACATGCAAACAAGTTCCCACACAGCCTCAGAATAACAGAAGCAACATGAATGATGGGCACTGAAATGTCATTTGAAAGGAGCAGTATGAAAGGCCCATTCTCTAACACCTTAAAATGCCAACCTAGTTTACATGTTCATTAGCAAATTATCTATTAGGTGTAACTCCATAACAGGCTTGCAATACCATATTCTATAGGTTCAACATACTTTCAATGCTGTTATCTCATAATATCATTAAAGATTCTATCACTACCTTTATTTAACTTTACAGAGATACATTAACATACTAAAAGCAAAACCAATTAGTCTTCATAAGCTCTGCAACTTAGTGTAAAAAAAAGTATATCCTAAAAAGTTAACATGTCATTGTTCATTATCCAAGTACCTAGTTAACAAAACACCGGTTGCTCCTTCTGCTCAGGTTATTTCATGCACCTGATATTTTACCCATGTCAGCTGTAAACATTCTAAACCAAATTCCAGAGGCTCTTCAATTTGCTTGGTAATTTTAATAAAACCATCACAGTCCCAAACATAGGCAACACCCCGCCCTATAAGTCTGGTTCTCAGATCATTAGTTATCGTATTTATACAGCACATCGGTACTCCCCTGCTGGCAACAGAGCTCTTGTTTTTCCTTCCAAGCAACTGGGAATAGAGCTAGGCAAAACTATTATTACTGGTTTTTAGCAAATAAACTAGTGTTGGTGGTATTTCTGATTCCTTTGATCTTTTATTCTTACGGTTTGCATCTTTCAGTATCTTCCTATTGTTTTATCTGACAGGAGTGGCAGACAATCACTAATAATGGCTTACCATAGCAAAAATTCCCAGCTTTCTGATGCTCCCACAGAGCAGGGAGCCCTCCCTGGCTACACAGGACAGAGGTCTCAGGAGCAGCTAACAGCCACCTTTATCTCTTAAATCTCACTTTTCATGTTATGGGGCCACCAATACCAAGAAAAGAAAGGAGCACTGTAAAGTGAAATAGGTGAGGCTTATGAAAGGGGATTCCACTAAAAGAAAGAAAAAAAAAAATGAAGAAAGACACAGAAAAAATATCCTCAAAGCTCTAAGACGATGTAACAAGAAAAAAATAGAGAAGAAAGAAGTATCGGAAAAGTCAGTAGTAAATGTACCATGAATTGATAAGGGAAGATGGTGAGTATCAGTGGCCCTGTCTAACAAACAGAACTTCAAAATACCTTCCAAACTTAGTAAATTACAGAAAGAAAATAAGAAAAATAAATTTGCAACATGCATATAGGCCTTGAATAATTGCTATCTTAAGACTGAAGGAGACAGTTTTATTACTAGCTTCTCTGTATGGTTTATGACCAAAATTAATTTTTGTCCTGTTAAATCTTAATTTATCATGCAACACATTGGTAGCTAAGACAAAAATAAATATACAGGTCACCCCAAAGCAGCTATTTTCAAAAAAGAACTGTACGTATTTAGATCAGATTAAGTCACTCAATTTTAATATTTCTTCAAAAGGATAAAAGTAGACAGAACGTGGAAAATATGCATAAAATGAAAAAGAATAACTTCAAAATAAATACTTTTTTCAATGTCTTAATTCAGCCTGACTACCCACTACCCACTCACCCTCTGTTAAGTGATTTGTTCTTTAATAAGTGAGCATCCGCAGAGGAAAACCAGTGGCAGCACATAGACACATTGTCCATCAGATGTCACTCAGTCAATAGCAGAAGAGAAGTTGACTGCATCCATCCAGAGGGACTATCTGAAGACAGCGGCGAAGAGGGAGATATCTTAAAAATCCCAAGCAGCTCTAATTTGCATATGTTTGTTAATCATAGCCATAAATATACCCATGATAATTCAGCCCACCTGCTTTGCTATGTTCTAGAAGCATAACATGTTCTTCCTTCCAACAGAGCTATGGAAAGTAGGCTTTGCGCTGGGAAATAATTAAGCACCTCTTTGTGTTGGACTATTTACTACCCTTTACCAAAAGGGAAACCACTAAATCTTTGCAACTGTAAAAACCTGCTGCCCTCTTTACACCTCATCTCATTTCAGTACATGCCTGCGCTGAGTTTATGCATGTCCATGAGCGCCACGGAGAACTATCTATAGAGATGTGAGTTCTCAGATATTTTCAGACTTGCTTTCAGATTCTCACTATGACATTTTTCTCCATGTGAATTTATGTATGCCTTACATGACTTCGTATAGAAGCATTTCAGCGTGGTCATCTTTATTTAGTCTCTGGGAGGTTTCATGTTCTCCTGTTTAGTTTTGCGCTTCAGTAGACTGACAAAAATGGGGAGAAGAAGGACAGAGACTTCAAAGTCATCCTGAATTTTAGAAAGTGGTATATCTTAGTTTACTGGTGATTGACATTTATTACTTCTACAGGTTCTAGTATTTTTGCTTTATATAAAGTCTTCTTCACCCCATTTCAATTCTCTTTCAATTAGCAGAAAGAATTAAGTAACTATTTATGTTTAAAGCAAAACAATTTCTTTTCATACTTGCATTGATTTATAAATTTGGGAAAAAGCTTAAGTCTGATTATTTCCAGCTGCATCAAGCTTCACACTCAATCCTAAATTGGGAAACTAACTTGTAATTTTATGAAATACGGAATTTGTGCCTATATTAACGAGGAGAATCAGTTTAGGGTCCATACATTCATGTACATCAACTGCATCATAGAAATGGCTTTCCAATCCTGCTGTTTCTCTCAGTGGACTTCCCTTTCCACCACCAACTCCAGGTGATTAACTTCAACACTGCGTTCCTTATCCAGTCTTATATCTGTAATGAAGGTACAGATCTGCCCCCTTACTAAATATGCCTATATAATTTCAACTCACATTTACCTTTTTCTCCTTGAGCTGTTCTATATACTGAAATGTATGCTTTAATCATTCAGCACGCAGGAACCATCCTCCATCCCCTTTTTCCATGAACATGTCTCCAACTTGGCATCCAGTTTAAACTGTCATTTGTATTGTCAGTGTTTTCTCGTATAATCTCAGTGTCTTCACCTACTTAAATGCGTAAATATATTCTTATCCAACAGTCTTGGATCTGGGAATAGCCTTTCTACATCTCTCAGCATCATCAGATGGCTGAGTCTTTTCAAATTGAAAGTGTTTTTTTCTGAAGTTAAATATCTCAGTATCTCTCATTCTGTCATTAAATCATTAACTCTTCAAACCTTCAACCTGTCTCTATGAGAGCATTCTGTCATTAAATCATTAACTCTTCAAACCTTCAACCTGTCTGACTATGAGAGCACCAACAGATAATCGATTTAATAGAATTTATTCCATTTAATAAACTATTTTCTACAATAATTATTTCAGTTTTTCAGTTATTTCAGTATTTTTCAGTATATATGAAATAGTTATTTCAGTATTTCCCCCAAGCATCCTTTGGAAAAAGAAAGTTACAAGGGGGATGAAATTCTGTGAATAGGTATGGAGAAGGAAAGATTTAGGTCCGAAAAATATTCCCAACAGAAGAGATTCATGAATGACTAGACAAATATGCTTGACTGTCTTTTTAAAGGAGAGTTTCTTTTCCAAGGAAACTACCACACTTCAAATGCTCCTGCGCAACCCGCTTTCTGGCACTCACAAATTAGGTACCTTCACTAGCTTAGTTACAAATTAGAAGGCTCTGAAATCCGTTCTCATTTGCAGACAAGACTCTGTGCGGTGCTAGTCTTTCCCAAGCATGCTCGCTACGCTTGGAATAAGGAATTACCAACCTATTCAGATCCTGCTGGTGGTATTTCCAGCAGATATTTCATTCTATGGCAGTTATTGCGTTCACGAAGCGAAGAGCTTACACCATCATTGGCAGCCCTGGGTGGCACTCAGGTAAGGAGGGTGGCACGGCTGGAGCAGGGCCAGAGCAGCCCCGCTCAGGAAGGGGTGCGGAGCGAGAGGCAGGACATCAGCTGCCGCTTGCCTGCTCAGCCCTCGCCAACGCTGCACGCTGGGCAGCCCGAGCCCCGCTGCACCCAGCAAGGCCCTGCGAGGGATGGGTAACTGCTGACAGTCAAAAGAGTCATTTGCAAGCAGGTATTAATTTAAAAACTCTGCAGAACAATTCTGACATGTGCCACAGTCTTACTGTTATACTTTTAGGATAGCAGTTCTGTTACCTGGATCAGAGGCTTTCATCAGGCCTTCATGTGACTTAGCCCTTATGGAAATGGAAGATAATTTATGGAATTAAAAAATTAAACATTAAAATACAACATGCAAAAGAAAAAAAATCATGTTTTTAGCCTTCTGTGAAACTACCTGAACTGAGAGGCACATCAGTTCCATTCATTTTATGGTTTTCAGTCTACTACTTAAAAGACTGTGAAGCAAGAAAATAGTCTAAAAACTTAATTCAAGGAATAATTTAGTTTCAAACCTGTTAGGAAACATCAAATTTCCAACTTCTTAACTCAGATTTCAAATTTCTTATTTAATGTTTACATGGAGCTTCTTTCTCTAAATTGATAGCTGGTCTTTAAAGACCTGTGGGTCATTAAGCAATATTTTTGGACCCACGCTAAAAGCTGCAAAAGGAAACAACTGCCTATAGAAGTTACTGATTTCACTTCTACTGTTCATTCTTACATGGAGCAAACTTCCTCTGACCTCAGCTGTGTCTGCTGGAACAACATTACATCACAGAACATCTAAAATGCTAAAAATATATCCCGTAGGTATAATCTTAATTATGTCTAGGTTAAAAAGATTTTGTAACCTTGGAGATAGAAAACAGTGTAGAAATTATTTTTAGCATCAAGGAACTTCTCCAAGCAATAATACCACACAGTGTAAAAATATACCAGGTCAGTACACTTTGGAGATTTCAGATGTTTCATCCTCTTATGGGATAAACTATGGTACTATTAAACTATATTACTTTGGAACATTCCCCCCCCTCCCCCCCCGAGATTTATACTCCATATGACCAAATCAAAGAAATTATACAGACACGCAAAGATGTACAGGAGCTTTAAGCATCCCATCTTTACAAACTGAGCTTGACTCAACAAAAATTGAGTTTTCCACTTGCTTTCAAGACAACCATCCACTGTTTTAAATTTAATTTGCAATACTGAGAGCAGAAATCCCAAGTGACAGTCCAAGCTTGAATTGAAGACGACAGTAATTTCTCCAGGGTCTCTTGTTTGTTGGTACACTCCTCACAACTTAAAGTCCTCAGGCTCTAGTCACAGGCAAAAGTAGTCTCAGCAAGAGTGCTGTGGGATCAAAAATCCACATTATTTGGTCCTGTTAAATCATATTTGCGTACTGACAGTCCCCCCCCATGCTCCTCTCTTCATTTCTTCTCTTATGAATATGCCAAGCTGGTCTGCTGGAGCAAACACAGTAGCATGCCAGCCCTCTCCATCTCCTCACTGGGTAACGAGCGTGTGTGTGTGTGACTGTAGGAGGAAATAATTGAAAGTACTGTGTGAGTAGTTATCTGTTAATAACAGCTTGCTTATATTAATAGCAGCTTCATTTCTGCTAAATAAAGGAGAAATTCTTCTAATATTGGTAGAGAGAATCTCCCTGACTTGGTGGCCTACCAGGGAAATGCACTGCATAGTGACACTTACCTAACTTCTGTGCGCATGGGTTTCTTTTCATAGCTAACGGAAGTTTCCTAGCTCAGAGCAAATGAAATTTTGAGTTTCAACACTTGGTGACAAAGCCTGTATGAAAGTGTGTACACTGAAGATTCATTAATAAGATTTACCAGAAGGACATATGTGGATATCGGTCATTAATATCCAACATTTCCCCAAATACTCAGGTTTCTCAAGGGCTTGTTTCCCATGTAACATCAACTCTTACGTGCTGAACACGTGGTGAGATTTCCCAACTGCAAAGGGCAGGTCACGCTCTCCTCCACCAAAATCAGTGTAAGCAGGCTGAGAAAAACTGGACAGCCCTGGAAAAGGCAGAGGTCGGCTCCTCCCTGGAGCTGTGCCACTGTACACTGCCGCAGTAACTGGCACACGCTTTACCATCGTAAGAAAACAGACTTTAAAACAGCTTCGTTTGAACGCAGGCAAAATTAAATACTTAACATAGGAACAATAGGGTTCTTTGTGGCAGGGAAAAATGTTTTTTCCTCTGAGTGCTGGCAGATTAGCCTCAGACTATTCTGCTTCTCTTTTGCTCTGACTGCTTTTCATTATTATTATTTTTTTTTTTATACTCTGTTTTAAAGAACAGTCTGGAATTCAGGGAAAAGCATTACCTACCACTGTGACACAGGCCTGCCTAGCAATATGAAATAGGAAAATGCATTTTCCCAAAGCAACCTCTCATTTAAACTTACAGAGCTCTTGGAATAACTAACAGGGGGCTACATTAGCATGTACAAATACAAACACTGCCAACCTCAAGCTGTTAGTCTTTTCTCACATAGTTCCCATTGCCGTCCTTCAGCTCCTGCCTCAGCATTAATTTTTCTTTCATTTTTTAGTTTTTCCACTTTCCTTTACTCCCTTCCCCCACCTATTGGTTGTTCCTTCCCTTTTAACTACGCCCCTCTCTCACTTCCTAGTAGCCCTGCTTTTAATAAAAATATTTTCTCTTTTCAGATTTTTACATAAGGCTTTTTCATCTTAGTTTTTAATCTGTTTCTTTTCTCTGGAGAGGATTTAGGGCATCTCCCATTTGTTACAATTGGCGTGCCTTTGTGTGTAAGAAATTCTGAATGAAATGCTGCTAAACTAAGTTTAAAGCATAGAGACTTGTTATACTTCAGAAAAACAGTAATAACATTGCTTTAAATTGTTCCCAGATGTAGTCTAAGGCTGTAGGTTAAAGATTACAGCATTTACAATATACTAATATTAATATATACTAATATACTGCATAATTTATGTAGCAGTCTATCATCACTGCTCTAAATGACTGCCAATAACGGAGACCTGGCAAGAATTTGGCACATATTTAATATACTTATCTTTCAAAACACGATAATGATAGCAGTAATGGACAGCTATGACAAGCTGAAGATCGACTGCACAATGCACTCATTTATGAAAAGTGTTGTTTGCCTCCATTTCTTATATAGCAAGATTTATATAAAATACATTTAAAAGCTACTTAGATGAAATGGTATTGGTCACCTGCAGAAAGCTAGCCTTTACAGTCTTTATTTAGTTTTTAGAGTATTTGCTAATGTTCCAATAACTGCACTCATTTAAACTACAGAATATTGTTCTTATCCTATTGTTCTGGGGCACAGGAATGGCAAAATGCAGGAATGCAGCACTTACACGAAAAGCATTTATTTAAACACACATCTGTACAAGTCTCCCAATAAATGAGCATTCTGCTAGAAGTCTTCCAGGTCATTTTCATTACCTCTTTCTAATGGAAGTTGGGTATTTATGATCCATCCCTTAAGTTTGATTTAATAAAGGCAACTTCACCCCTACCATTAATTTATTGGAGGGAAGGACAGGTCCCCCCACCGGTAATGACTATCACCTCTCCAGACTCACCCAGTTCTGCTCACAATCCCTTTTTTACCTTCTTGCTCTCATTTCAGCATCCCTTTCCATGTAGTCTTCTGTACCTTTGGCATCCTCGTGAATCCATCAGCAAAGCAACTCTTGAATAAACCATCTTCCTTGAGTCCTTCCCTCAATTACCCTTTTAATAAGGAAATCTATAAACCTACCTTGCCCTCTAAGGAGCTGTTAACATGACTATAAAAAGAAAAAAGCAAGGAGCAGACAAGCAACAAAAGAAATCCTGCAGTGCAAAATCCTAATGCCGACCAGCCAAACACCATCCCTCAAGCGCTTCTCACTGTGTCCTGATCTTACTCCATGAACCGCAATTCAAAAAAATCAGAGTTCAAAAGCAATTCGGGACTTCGGCCAAAATCCAGCACAAGAGTAAAGTAATACCGGTCATTCAGGCTAGACTTGGAAACTTTAAACAAACGGCAGCCAAGTCACCTCCTTGAGTGCCACCACGCAGGACACTGACCGCATTAACTGTGTTTCTGCATGGCCGCTGGGGACCAAGCAGCTGAACCCAGGTAACTGTTGGAACAAACTTTTAAAAGCTACAAGATTCATTAAGGTTCAGCGATAGTTTATGTAAAAAAATTCTCCTGCTGTCATGTTCAAGATTCTTAACAAAATAAAAAAAAAATACAGGATTAATCTGTTCTTTGATTGCCTGTTTCTTTAGTCTGCTAATTCAGGGTGTCTATAGGCCTGTCTTATTTCCTCTGTAAAAGAGATAAATACAACAAAAAGCATTTCCCAGGTGGTGCAGTGGAATATTGTGATTTGTTGCGACATGACCACATGCCTCTATCAGGCCTATGGTCTTCCCCCCCCCAGACTGAGGAGGAGGTGGGTTTGGATTTGAGAAGCCTCTCCAAAGCACAGTGCTTTCCAGGATTGCCTGTACCTCCCCTCAGTTGTTTACAGCTGTTTAAAGCCTCACCATCACTAATACATTCTTTGTTTTTATCAGAGTGGCATTTATGATATTTCTTGGAAACAAACAAATATCCCTTCAGAATTTAAATCATTCCTTGGGGAAACTCAGAGACAGGGGCTTGCCCAAGGCTGTGCAAGTGTCCACGACTATGCAATATACCCATACGGGCTACAGTGATGAGGGCACGCGAGTGTTGTACAGCTCATCCATGCAAGCACTGTATCCCTCACTAACAGATGACTCTAGCCAGACCTCATCTTTGGTCAATGAGCATCCGTGGGTTAACAGACAGTTATAGCTCGCTGTTTTTCTGCAATATGGCTATAGTCCCAGACTTGGCATAGCATAAAACATCCCAGGAGCAGTTTGGTCCGTCTTCTTGGGCAGCTCCACGCTGCAAAACCCTCCCAGGCTAAGGGCTGCCCATGGCTGGCCAAGTGAGCAGTGCAAATGGTCAGAAACGCATGGGAGAAATCTATCCAGACTTTTTGTCTGTCTTAGTTTGTGCCATCGCATGCTTCCAAAGGAACTGTCCTGTATAAATATCCTCTAC